TTATGACCATGTGATATTTCAGTTTTTCTTTTTTAATAAATTTGCAAAAATTTCTACATTTCTGTTTTTTTCTGTCAAGATGGGGTGCTGAGTGTACATTAATGAGAAATAAAATGAATTTTTGATTTTAGCAAACGGCTGCAATGAAACAAAGAGTGAAAAATGTAAAGGGGTCTGAATACTTTCAGTACCCACTGTATATAAAGCTACACTACCCATGGGCCTCAGTCGCCATTGCTGTGGAGAAGAAGACTGTCAGAGGGCCAAATCGAAGCTGTTGGAAAGGCGGGAACAAAACACTGCACTATAGTTGCTCACAAATCTCACATATTGCAAACATCTTGGTTCTACACCAAGTGGAATCCTTCATGGTGATGATAGCTGCATATTCATCCAAAGTTTGCGTCGCGTAGTTACACTGTCGCGTGTGTGTTTTTCATCATGTGTATTTATGTCCATGTTCACCCTCGTGTGAGAAACCAGAATACAGACAGATGGTGGTTGGATTGTTGGAGTGTTTACTGCTTACTTCAGACAGCTGCAGTGCACAGTGGCACATAAACACAGCTCCGAGTGTGACATGACGTAGGGGTTACAGTGAGGCTATTCACTCCCCTCCAGCTATTTTTATACAGGAGCAAGAGAGTGTGGAGTGACCTTGGCGGTTTGATCCTGATTTCCCGCTCGAGCGAGATGGGCCCTAATCTGATCTACTCTATCATCCTGACTGTCAGAGGTCCCAAGTCTCAGCTCACTGTTTTACAATAAAATGCTCTCTGATAGATCTATTAGCTGCTCATCGGCGGGCATGATCTCTTAATCTGCAGGACATCTCTTCCTGTTCATGGGCAGAAAGGGAGGATGAGGAATTAGCTTTGGATGCTGTAGTGCCACCAAAAGAAAAAATCCTTTCGTAAGTGAGTTTTCATTTTCATTTCCAATTTTCTAAAATTGCTGTAGGTCTGCCGTGTTTCAAATGACCTCCATAGAGGGGGTGACGCTGTAAATGATTTTAAGGAAATTCCATGTGAAGATAAGGTATTCAAGCTTCTTTAATGCATTTAAAACCGTTTAGCTCTGCTTTTAGTGCATCCATAGACCTGGGTGGGAGGAAAAAAAGAGTGAAAAACTGTCAATGATTGTCCACATGCACTTTAGCAGATTAGGAGTCTCTGAAAATTACAGTGGAGACTCAATTAAGAAAGCTTATACGGGCAGAGGACTTTGAGAATGTCATCAAGTAGTGACAGAGGAGGCAGTATTATACTTTGAGATTACTCATTGCATAAACTGCACACACACACACAAATACACAGTGTATTATTCACTGAATGAACTACAAATGCACACATGCATAGCAATAAGTGAGGATGAATCAGCATGCGCTGCGTCATTTGGTTCAGGTATCCATTCAGGAATAACAATCAGTGGAACTGCCTGGCTCCGCTTGCCTCCTCCTCGTGGGATGACGTCTCTCAGCACAGTTGCTTACGTCAGAGCCTGCGAACTGAGGAGCATGCACTCGCTGTGTGTTGGCAAACTGAGGTGCTGTTTTGGACGAGGGCTTGAATAAACATAGCCTCTGCTGTTGCTGTGAAAAGACTCATTTACTCCCACCAAGAGCATCACAAAGTGGGATTAACTCTTGCATAGGTTTCAGACGGATACCGGGGCGGAAACATTGGATTTCTAACGATAATCTTTTTTCCATCTGGTCCTTCAAATGTTTATTCTCATTTTCTTTTCTCCTATACAACTGTTGTTTTATTTTCTATTATGAAGCTTTGTTAAACTGTGCTTCTGCTCTTGAGAAGCGATAATCTGTATCTTTAACAGAGGGCACTACTGAGGCAGATTGATTATCACCCTGTCAGCCTCTTTATGTTCTGCATAATGCAGGGTGCAATTAGGAAAATGAACACACAAAATAAACCCACGTTGTTAACGGTGGATATCTTAAAAATGTCTTGTGGTTCAGTTACATTGATGCTTTTGACAAATCTGCTCTCCCAACAATGTTTTTCTTTGAGATACGGGATATTTTGAAATCAGTAATTGCTCAAGCAGACAGTTGCAAATGTGTTTTTGGATGACATGGAGGCTCCAGAGTACAGAGCATTTCAGTTTTGCTGAGCGTTTCCTCATGGACACACAACTCTTCCTCTGTTATATTCCACAATGGTGCTATGGTAACTGGTGTTCAAGCCCGCGGGGCTGAACTCAATTGTCTTTGTGCCTGTTCTCATTTCCTTCATTTTCTTGGTTATAATTATTGGTTATAATATAATTATAACATATAATATAATTATAACATATAATCATATATTAGTTTGACTCCATGTAGTGCAAATACATGTAGTTGGACCTGACCTTACAGGATTTGTCCCATAAGATATCTTATCCACATCTTCAACTGAATCTATAATATTTTAGTATAACTATCTTTTTTTTAGCAAATAGTACATGGTATTGGTATTTGTATATCTGCTGCCAAAACTTTGTCCTACTTTTAAATGAGGATTTTCGCCACTGCGTTTCAGCTCCTTTATTTTCACCTTCATTTGTTTCAAAATCAGAGGACTGGAGAACAATCTTCCTAAAATGAAGAGGCTCTCACTGAATTACTGTGTTTTCACTCAACTACTTCCAAGGATGTCATGTATTGCCTTTGTTATTGAATATATTGATTGTAGGAGCCACAACTCTGTCCAATCACGTCTGCTGAAAGCTCCACAGCCTGAGGCCATTGAAGAGGCACCCTTGTAGCCGGACAGCCCATCGCGTATTGTCTTTGAATGGCTCCCCCCAACCTCCCCGTGAGTTGTAGACTATCTGAGTGGCAGTGTGGTTCTGTGCAGTGATTTGTCCTTCGACAAGGGCCCTGCCTCTGCCATTCCTACCGTCAGCAACCCTGCTACAACTGTGCATGAATACAGGATACTGGCATTTGCTGAATCCAAGGTGGCGTCTTTTCAACTAGAGCCCAGTGAAATACCTTTTCAGCCTCTCGAGTGGTCTGGCGAACTACAGCCAAGGGGGCCCCAGCAGTATAATGATGCCTGGCACAATAGTAGCACTGTTCTCCAACCCGTTCCCAGGAAACCGCACAACATGTGCCATTGTGCACTGTGCTTTGCTGCCCAACCACGTTGCCCGGCTTTAGCCAGAGACACCGAGAGGCTTGGCTGTGCAGCGGAGCTCACAGCAACGTGGTTGGTAGGACAGGTTCAGAGGACTGCAAGACGAAGACCAGGGTGTATTCATCGCCTCACACAGCGTTTGATGTGTTAAAATGATATTACAGAAAGGTACATTTAAAAGGCCAGTCTGTGAAGCGGAAGAGGCCTGAGGGAAAAGGTGAGTGGTTGCCAGGAATGGTAGTACAGAAAACCCTGAGCGTTGTTCAGTTGAACCCTCTTCACTAAAAGAGAAAACCAGGAGAAAAGTGACAAGCAGAACAATGAAGGCACAAAGACGGCTAGAACTGGTTCGGAGCTGGTCCTAGCTGGTTCTTCTCTTTTCATCTGGGGGTTCAAACATTTGTGCGTGTTCCTCCTCTATGGCCCCCAACGTGCTCTCCATTGAAGCCCTCACTGCTGTTTATGCAGCAGAGCAAAGGAGATCGTTCAGGGCCTGCTGGATAGGGGGCTTTGGTCAACTGCATCCAGGGGATACATGTCCTCACAAGTCAGCTGCTCAGCTAAGACACCACAGCAGGATGCCCAGGAAATAGAGGCCTGACGCAAAGCCCAGTGTGTCACAGTTCTCTGAAAGCCCAGTTTCCTCTCAGCCTAGACCTGTCAGTTGATGTGTCAATTATTCATTGGATTTGCCCAAAAGTCAATTTACTGTCAACTCTATATTTTGACTAACATAGCTGGATTTTGTGTTTTTACTGTTGATTAGCAAAGTGAAAATGTTTGTTAGTCTCACGGTCATGCTGCTCTTGTTTTTCCACCCATTCATATTTACAGTATCAGTATAGTAAATGGTATTCTCAGTATAGACACAGTTTAAATTTTTGTGGCAAGCTCTAAATGGGGTCAATTGTGAATTGGTGAATTGGGTCAGAATCTTCATTTGTTGTCAGTCCGATTAAGCCACAACTACAATATGTAATTTAGTCACTTAAGTACTTTAATAGGTTTGCAAGGTGTATGTTTTCCATCTTGACATCCCTTTTGTTAGAGTGATGTGTAGTTCAGTCACGTCCCCGTTGGGCCTTAAGGAAGATACAGACTCACTTTAATGCCCTCAGGATGGCCTCCGTTATCTTCTCACGTGCCTCTTATTGTTGGAAACTAGGACTGAAAGCATTGCTAGTGCCAATGCAGTCAATGTCAATTTGCGATTGAGCTGGACTTGCTATTATAATTTTCAAAATAAATGAATTATGATCGCCACATATATATGGGTACATACATGAAATCTGACCTCTGCATATTACCCATCCTCAGCATTTAGGAGCAGTGGGCTGCTGTCAGTGTCTCGCTGCGATACTTCATGTGGACGATAGGAATCGGGAATCTAACCTTTAACCTTGTGGTTAAAAGACGACCCGCTCTATTCACTGAGCTACAGCCGTCCTGGTACCCAAGAAAAGCAAATGTTATGTCGAGTCTCAAGCAACAGTTACAAATTGTTGCAGAATCTCCAAAATATCAAGAAAAGACATATTTAATACAGAGAATAAAGAAACGATAGGTCCCTGCTAGTCTGGTTCATTAGACCTCTGCTCAGGTAGAATGTGGGCAGAGCTATGCTGCGTATTAAGTGAGGTTATTGAACTCCATGCTACAATAAGAAAGATCAAGCTGCAATTTGTTCCACCCTAGCAGTTAAGACAAAGCCATCAGGAGAGAGAGGGAGATTAAGTCTGTACACCTTCACACCATCTTCAGTAAAAGGTCCAATCAGGGCCTTCAATGTTCATATTTGGTCTGTTTACAAGTTTCTAATTAAAAGATGAGTTTATTGAACTGTGGTATTTATGCTGTATAATGTCCATTCAAAACCACAAATCTCTACATTTTGTGATTTCTCTTTTTCCCCCCACAGATCCCAGGAAAAATACCTCAGAGCACCTTTCAAACACTCAGCCTCATACACCTACACATTTAAACAGACTCATTATCACATACACACGCAGGCACCACAAGCAGACATGAGTGAGGATAAACCAGCGGATTCTGTGGAAACTGCCCCTGCTGAGGCGAACGCTATTCCTAATGGAAAAGGCCACGAGGAGGAGATCACAGCATCGGCCAAAACACCATCTGCAGAGGCCGGTGAAAAGTGAGTATAATCCTCCTTACTTCGTTGATCGCTTCAGAATTACGGTTGTTTATTGGCAAGAATCTGGCGATACAATACATATCACGATACAGGGGTCACCATTCAATATATGCAGATATATTGCGGTTTTCTAAATCGAATTTGTAGAAAACGTGTAAAAACACCCACCATATACAAACGTTTTTATGCAGTCAGATCATTGGGATCTGCATATCACAGTGTAGCACCTGTAACATCCAACATCATAACACTACCTTTTGTGCAATCTGAGCCCCCGTCTGCCACAAATCTTAGCATGTAAAAAAACGATTGTTGTTACAAATAATAACAATCGTCATTCTCTTTTGTAAGGCTGTTCTTGCCACTATTCAAGCGAGGCGATTTGATTCACCGGTTGCTCTTACTTACCAGAGGCCTCACATGTTTTCTCTAATGCGTCACACGTCACATTTCCCCCTGTGTGCTAACACAGCATCAAGTGAAATAGGATAGTTGTCATGTGTAGCATGCCTGTGCCTGTTCCTTTACTAATCTTCATGTTTACTCCTTCAACACGAGAAGGACCTGACTCTCTCTCTTATAGAAGCAAGATATAATGTGCAATATTTACCTGGAGTTACGTACAAATCAGATAAAAGTATCATACAAAATATTGGCTAAATGGAAGGCCTCGATGCTAACAACACTCATTTTTACCGGATAACGGAGATAGCTAAATGCTTAATTGTCATGTCACTGGTTGTCTAACAATGTTTTTTTTGTGTCTTCTTACTATGTAATAGATTAGTTAATTACAATCTCTCTCTGAGATACACATGATCATTTATAGATAATCCCTTCACTGCATTATTTGCCTGATTATATAATGACTGAGGGTGTTGTTTTTCCACTTTGTGCTCTCGCTGGGTGATGGATGGACTCTCTCTACACTGCTTGTAGGGTAACTGTACCCAACAGTGCCCAGAATGATAGGTATGCTTGTTGATAAGGAACAGAGAATATGTTCGTATTGTAGTGTGCATCTTTTACACAGTAATGGAATTATTGTAAACCAGAGCCTGTTCTATAAAAAAAGAAATTACATAGTTTATGATGAGTATTGACTGTTTTTGTTTAATGTAGTGTTACTGCCTTGACAGTATTTTTTTCCATTAGTACCCACAGAACTGAGAATACAGAGGCCAACCTCCCAGAGAGCCAGGACTTCTTATCGGGCATGGAGGACAAGAAGACCCCTCAATTTACAGATGTAAGTTCAATATTCCTATATCTATATATACAGTATATACACATCTACATCTATATATCTATATATACAGTATATACACACCTACATCTATATATCTATATATACAGTATCTATCTATTTATCTATCTATCTGATAGATAGATAGACTTGCATGCACTAACATGTTTATTCCTCCCCCCTGTCTTGCATCGGTTATAGTTTGAGGGGAAAACCTCGTTTGGGATGTCTGTCTTCAACCTTGGCAATGCGATCATGGGAAGTGGAATCCTAGGACTGGCGTACGCCATGGCCAACACAGGAGTCGTCCTGTTTTTGTAAGATATTCAAATGCATTAGATACACTCAATATGTAACTCCATGATTTCAGATCGGTGGAGTGACTGACAGTCTCACAGATATTGTCTGACTTATTTTCTTCCCGCTTTCCAGCGAAGGTCTGAGTCACACATAAATAGCACCCAATTGTTTTGTAATTGTCTTGTAGTCCCTGGTTATGACAAAGAGGCCGATGACACAGGGCACATTTGTTTGATAAATATAGGCCCAGATTAATAAGCTACTGGCAATCATTTACTCGCGCTATAAATAGCCGCAATCGTAATCAAGGATGCAAAAATAACCAGATTGTTTCTGTGTGGTTGATTCTCTGCCTGGAACCAGTTGGCGTATGTGCTGCACATATGAGGGGCTTAACGTATAAAAACCTCTGCAGCAGCATTGTCTGTCAGGATAAAGACTTCATAGTCGACTGCAGCTTTCAGGTTGAACATTTCTATTTTAATGCAGATGCTTTTTCTACCTTATTTAAATTCACTGGAGGTCTTCTGACATTTGAGCTGCAGTGAGTGCTCACAGTTGTTTTGGTCTTTTTATGGTATTTATCGACAATAAGAAAAATACAGAATATCTCCAGCCCTTAAAGCTTATAGACTTGTAGCATGCTTTCAGGAAATATCACACGCATCACCATTTCATTGGGTGTCATGTAGTGGGGTAGCTTCATCATCAGCACTTTTGTTGAACCATCCAATCGGTCTCAGATTTATCCTGCCTGAATTTTCTGCCATCGGCCAGACCGGATCTAGTCGGTTAGACCTTTCTCAAGTATTGATTTATGGTGGCTGGATTCTGCATAAACATGCAAACATGAAGCTCTGTGGTGGAATATAATTCAAACTTGGTGGTGATATAATATCGGACTGATGTGCTCTCAAAGGTTTGCGTGCTCATTTAGGTCTTTCATGCGTTCACTGCTTCTAAAATCTTCACTTTTTTCATGAGGTTTCCAGCTGTGATCCGTCTTTTTCTCAAGAATAATCAGGCTGGTTTTTCCAGAGGGTAATCTCACCAGATGGCACTGACAACATCAACACTTTCCCCTGCTCGGTTCCTCGTGCTGTTTCGACACCTCTTCCTGGTGGTGCTAGAGATTGTTCGGTGTGCGGTGCGGAAACTGTCTGAGGAAAAGTATTTTTCTGACAAAGATTTAAGCCCTCCAGATTTATATTTCTTAGAAAATGCAGGCACTGCTGTTAACTAAGCATCCCTCAATTGAAATTACAATACAGAGTATTAGTGAGAGGTGAAGCAATCTTTGGGATGTTTGTATAAATCTTGGCTTGGTTTTAAGTGGATTTGTAGTCATGGTGAAAAACTTGATGCGCTCTCCCTTTGTAGGCCAAAGGCAGTTTGTTCATTTCATACCAAACTCAACACAACATAATGGTGAAAGCATATTCATGCTACCTTTCATGATTCAATCAATCTGGGAGTAATGTAAAGCTAGGTTTAAATACTCCCCAAGGACGTGATTTGAGCTCTTTTCCAAGGCAGTCATGTCAGGATTTATCTCACGTGTTAAAGAAAGCTTCTTATTTTGAGCTGAGTTGTGTGACTGTGGCTTTTCACGCTGTCTGCTCTTTGGACAGACTGAACTCTGTGTCACTGAACATCAATGTCTTCGACACCAAGACAGGAGCTGAGTTGAACCCCATTTAACTCTGATGAAAACACGCAATCTACTCCTGTGTGCGAATTGATAGTACGTGACTGAATGCAACAGTTAGCGTGTAGTTTTCCGTCCTGTTAGGGATGAAAGCTCGTGTCTTTGTGTGCATATCTGCACGATCTTGTATCAAACAATGGAGTAGGTACTGAGAAATACAGGCAGGGTCGGTTACAATTTTACTTTTTTTTCACATTGGACTCCAGGCTGGTGTTTGCCTTTTTTCTTTTTTTCTTAACAGTGTCATTCTGAACCTTAGGTTCTGCTCCTTAAGGGGACAGGAGACCTAAAAATGAGGCGACCATGTTTGCTCAAACACGGGGAGGTAAACAAATGCAAAATAAACACCAACAGCAAAATAATATGCCTGTTGCTGAGTATTTTTTGTCATATGGGTTGTTCTCATTTATCTCCACTGATGGGTCGTCTGCTGAACCTTTTGTGAGGGTCGATCAGTTCACTCCACATATGTCCACATTTGTTCATAATCGTCAATGTCTTTTGAATGATAACCATACAACTATAAATGTATTCTCAAAGAAATAAAATGAAGAGTGATGTTGTTAGTCTAGATTTTGGAATGTCTTTTGTTTCACTTTCCCTTTTGGCCCGATGTTTCATATCACACAGAGTTTTGTTGGCGGGTGCAGAGGCTTCAGCCGGTCAGCGGTCTTGGCCCGCGAGGAATGCAGCGGGGTGGAAAGCTGTGAGCAGAGCTACAGTTACCCAAGTGTGTCAGTCTGTCTGACTGTCAGCAGATCCGTCCTCCCATTGCCACTTGACTAACTAAATCCTCCACTGAAAGTCAGCCCAACATTCTTTCACATAGTATTACACCCCCCCCCCAAAAAAAAAACAACCCTGTTAACTGGCCAAGAGTTGAAGTCCAGTTGAAAGACATGCAGCCTGGCTTTTCCAAAAGGAGAGAGGAATGGAGTGTGTGTGTGTGTGTGTGAGAGTGAGAGAGAGTGCTAATGTCGCCAATGGCAACAATAAAATTAGAAATAGTTGGAATGAGGTGGACTGGGTCAGGGAAAGTTAGTAGATCAAGGACCCATTCACAAAACTTCCCCATGCTGTGGATTCTTACAAAAGTCTCACTTATTAAGTGATGATTCTTAAACACCTCCACTAGAGACAGATGTTAAATCCAAGTAAAAGATGTAGCTTGTGCACTTCATGGGCTAATTTAAGAACAATATCCAAGGAACCAAACAGAAATCCGATGATCAAATACGCAAAATAATTTAAGGTAATCACTACATCAGTACTATTTATTTTCAAAAAGCGTACAGTGATCAAGAGTCCAAATGGCAGTGGGTCCAGCAGGCAGGCAGGCAGGATAGCAGATAGCTTGCAGGTAACAAGAAACTGAATAGCAATTATGATGATCTGACAAGGAACACGAGGAGGGGAACTATGTGCAGAGTGGCTGACGAGAGAATGAGATGCAGGTGAGGAGGAGGAGGACGGGGAAGGCCAGGCAGAGCTGATGAGGAAAATGGCAACAGGTGTGTAGGTGGGAGGGGATGCCAGGTGAGCAGGACTGGCAGCAGAGTCTTAGGGCATCTGGTGGACGGTTGGAGGATGGCAGATCTGGGGAGTGAGAGGAGGGTTCATGGCCTGGGGGAAGTGAGCGGGAGCTGGAGACAGGGACAGAGAGCCAGGACAGGCAAAAAGGACAAAGACACTAAAGTCCTCATGCCAAGAATGCATGAAGAGGAATAACATGTAAAAACGGTTAATATGAGTTTGTGTGGCGAGTCTATTCCCTCTTGAGGAAACAACTCTATTACTGAAAATAGAAGGAATGACTGTTGTTGATTGACGTGGGTTATTCCAACACTGATGAACAAAGATGAGAAGATTAATGTTTACAGAGGATTTTCCCTCATTCTGTCAATCTCAGCATTGCGTTGGAAACGTTTCTTTTTGAAACTGTCCATCTGGTGTGTGTGTGTGTGTGTGTGTGTGTGTGTGTGTGTGTGTTTGTGTGTACGTGCTTACTTACTGTGGCAGAGGGCAGAGAGGCTGATAGGGCAGCCTCCTTGTCTCAGCTTGAGTAACAATCCAGGCTAAAGAGCCACAGGGACTCTGCTCTTCCAACACAATCTATGTACCGGCATGCAGAAAATGTATGCCTATGCTGCAGCTGTATAAATAGCCTGCAGGGTAATGTGTGCTGTAAACATGTAACATATAAAGTCGTTGAGAAATGAGAATTCTTGGTATAATGATGATTAAAATTGAGTTTTTTGCAGGTAAAAGAAGAGGCAGTAAGTAATACTGTCAGTAATGTCTGTTGTTGCATGTCTGTTTCAGGGTACTTCTAACAGTGGTGGCAGTCCTCTCGGCGTATTCCATCCATTTACTGCTAAAGTTGTCTGGCATTGTAGGTATGTATGCAGCCTGACAACATGCATCTTCTGATTCAAGGATTCATGCAATGTATTATCATTTGCATTTAAATGCAACCAGTGCATTTCCATTCAATTAATACCTTGTGCCCTGGCTGCTTTCTAATCGACATGTTCAAACTATACACAGTCTGCTGGAACACACTGAGTGTTAGATAGAACAGGAAACTATGGCTTCCTGCTCTTGTGCCCAGATAAGTGAGACCCAGACTCAGGTCAAATAGCAGCAATCCAATACATAATAGGACAACAACATCAGATTATTTATTTATTAACAAGGCAGCATTTTGGTCATGGTTTGTCAGTTAATTAAAGCATCTGCAGCTAGCAGTGACCACTTCCTTTATTTTAAGTTGAAAATAATTAAAAAAGATAAGAGTCTCAAGTATAAGCCTTGCCTGCGGATTGTTCCAGGACCATGGAGTATATTGGAACAGGTTTGTTTGGCCAGCCTCTGCACTGATAGAAGGCACTTTAAACAGAAACCATTTGCGTGACCTAAGATCTTGACTACATTGCAAAAATAAACACTTTCCGTTTAAGCAAGTAGGAGATTTGCTGTCTTTTAAATGTGTGTACATCGATGCCACGTTATTGCTTACCCAATGGTAGCAGTGAAAATGAGTGATGGCTTGTATGATATCTGATAGTGGTTTGAGCTCTTTACCTGCACCTGACATCATATATCATCATATACAGTATATCTCATCCAGGTATGACTTATTTCTTCCTATTATTTTGGATGCCTCCTGAGTTGCTTCAGGTTAAATTCCAAACAACACTATTAAACCTCCTGTACGAATATTTTCAATAGTGCACAGATAGAAATTGACAAAAGGTTTTTGTAGACATTCCACATTTGTTATCTCATCTAAGAAAAGGTGGCATTTGCCTCTGTCTTTTTCAGAATACAGTCAGTGCTCTTAGACCAATTTATAGTGTTAGAAAATCTTTATGTTGAGGAATTAGAAAACTATCCACAACCTCGACAGAAACACCATCTGTGTAGGTGGTGCTACTCTTTTTTTAATCATTGATCACTTTTGCTTTTGCTCACATTGACGGGTTATTATTAGTGCACTTAAGGGAAAGCTCTCTCATCTCTCTCCTGTAGGACTGTTCATTGTCAACAAAGGTGGTTTTATCTGCAAAATAGCCAAACCTCTAAATTACCCTCTAAAGTCAGATATGATAAGATTGCAGTGTGTCAACACCTAATACTCTATGACCTGCTGCACAACAAGTTGTAATGTTTGACCATAATTAGATTTACATTCTCTTTACAGTCCTAGACTTTGTTAGTATGGATTTAACACATTGATAAAATGCTTTTTATCTGGCTTTTGTGGCTCAGGTATTCGTGCGTATGAGCAGCTCGGCTACAGGGCCTTTGGTACCCCGGGGAAGATGGCGGCAGGTATTGCCATCACGCTGCAGAACATTGGAGGTGAGGTCACACTGCCATCTGTCCGCACACTTACACACTTACACACTTACACACTTACACATTTATTAAATGTCTTCTGACGTTTCTGGGATAATTGTATTATATGATTAGAAGCTTGGGAGTATTACTGTATAATTAACCGTGTAGTTGAATACTAACTCATCGTTTGTATCTCCTTTCCACAGCCATGTCCAGTTACCTGTACATAGTCAAGTCTGAGTTTCCGTTGGTCATCCAGGCCTTTCTGATGGTGGATAAACCTGAAGGGTGAGTGGTCAATACATGACATAAAAGTTTTCATTCATACTATAAGACTTCAGATCCTTGTGAGAAAATCACTGGCAAAAAATAAACAAATCAAACATCAAATACTTAATTATTTCACTCAACTTCACACGAAACAATATCTTTGAATTTGTAATCCTGAAGATTTCAGTCCTAGTTTATTAGAACTGCCCACGGTCCCTGGTGTTAATAGCAAGTACAGTTTAACACTACAGCAAACACTCCTTGAGCTGCTACTTTGTCAGAAATACAACAACTGGTGTATCTTTCCTCGGCGCTGCCAAAGAAACTTGATTGAAATAAAAGTAATTCTACTCACTTGAATTAATGCTTGACATACATCTGGATCAGTGTCACATCTGTAAACATCGCCATGCCTCCTAACGGTTAAAAAGTAAACTGCTCATGATAAAAAAATTGTAGTGGGCATCCCGCCACTTCACTATGGGACCTTATGCCGCCGTCCTGTTGAGGATTTCAGCCTCAACAAAGAGTTGTGTCAGGCTGTGCCAGTTGGCGGGCCTGGTGATGCTCAGGATGTAGGGAGCACCTGGCGTGAGAACAGCTGAGATAGCGACCTTGGAGAAGGAGAGCAGCACAGCCACTGACAAAACACAGCTCGACTCCACGGCTGAAAACGTAAACCACGGGATATCACTGGCCATTGCAGGTGGCCTCAGAGACAAACAACACTCACTTCTTTGGATGGGATTTCAAGTGTGATGTTACCCCCTTACACATTAACCCTTATCCCAGTTAGAGCCTCTCTTCACCTACTTTTCATCGTTTGTGAGAAGTATTTGAGGAGGAAGGGGGAGAAATGGGAGTTTATTATAAAAGTGCATGAACTGCGCTTTCCTCAATCTATTACGTGCTACCACGTTTGCTCGTAAATGTTTAGATTGATGTGTCCCACTACATGTAGTCACTATAGAGGGGATGGACTGTGACAACATGTCCACAGTGTTTTCTGGTGTCAGCTCTGCGTTCTCTGTTTAGCAGTGATCTGGGACACGGTCAACAATCACTGTTTAGTTGAAATGACAAACTAGATTGTCCCAGTGGCATTTCATCCCGTCAATGGGTCCGTGTTTAGATTGCAAAACTGTACACGGGGTGGACAAAATAACAGGGACACCTCACAATTTGATGCAAGAAAATACAATAGCTCTGCAACTAATACTACTTTATAATAGAATATGATTATTAACAGTGTCATAGATTTTAGTTCAACTCTGTGATTTGTGGTAGTTTGTTGTCTATTTGTGTCTGTGTGTGTGTTGCTGACCCTGGTCAGCTCACACGCACAATCACTTAACACCTGAGGCTGTCTGTATGCTTGTTCAACCAGTCAACTTATCAGAGAGCCGCTGGTATTTCAGTGTAGAGAGTGTTACATGTATATCTGCTTATCAAGCTTCTATTACCGTTTGTGGTTATTAGTGATTGTGCATTTGCGTGTTTGTAAAATATTGTATGTTTTTGTGTAAGTGTGTATCAGAGTTGGTGAGATATTGTGACCCTGGTCCAGATGGCCGTAGGGCAGGATGACAACAGGATAGATGAGCCTCTTTGTCTTTGAGAAGTGCGTGTGTGTGTGTGTGTGTGTGTGTGTGTGTGTGTGTGTGTGTGTGTGATAGTTTTATTAAATAAGAATTTTTTGACTCACCATCAAAAAAGTCTGTAAGATGTTTTGACCATTCATTTCGTGTATTTTATTTTTCATTTTATATATTTCATAACATTTTCTTGAAATTGTATCTCAAAGCCTGGGTTATAATTCTCATTTCTGCTGTCAAATTTTTAAATATTTAGTCTAAAACTACCATGTGTAATGTGTGTGTTGTATTTACGTCTCCTAAAAATATTCCTGTGAACAACACAGAGGACATGACCTCTGTGTCCCAGCTGTAGCCACAGTTCTTAGTGTCCAGTGGTCCAGGGAGGAAAGAGGCTTATTTTTTCCACTCTAGATATTTGATTATACAGCGACCAGTGATTAATTCGTGTTCACTTCTGTTCAGCTGTGAATAAAAGTACTTGGCATCGTTGTGCAGGTATAAAATAATCCTCAGTCAGTAACTGCTTTTTCCACCATGTAAGCCTTATTTGTGTGCACCTAAGTTTCTAGCTGTTCACCCACTTTCCCCCCCTGTGTCTTCTCAATCAATATCTGACACAGTGCAAATGCTTAACATGATTGAGATTGAGAGGAGTGTTTGAGCCGAGTAATTCTAAATCAATACCTTTAATTCTCTTCCTCTCTGCAGTGAATGGTACATGAACGGGAACTACCTTGTGATCATTGTATCTATTGCAGTGATATTACCTCTGGCTCTCATGAAACAGCTAGGTAAGTATATCACGTCCTCCTCACAGTGGGATACCCATATCATTAGTGATTTACTCTGGGCTTACCGGTACTTTAAAGTTCTGTGTTGTGTTACGTTTTGCACGAATCGGTTAAAGCCAGACTATGTAGCTTGCTGAATGACAACTACGGGATTATCTTAAATGCTGGACTACTGTTTAGCATTTAGCAAAAATGCTAAACTATTGCAACGGCATCACAAGTAACATTATTGATTCTGCCAACTGACTCCGAAATGTGTGTTACCCAGCAATATTTACCCTAAGTTTACTAGCAGTATCCACCAAAAGCTGCTGTTGATGATAGACGAGTAACATGAATCCAACTTTTCATTGTTAAGAAGAAGAATGTGTTTCTTTCGCTTAAAAGTTGCAGTCTTGCTCTAACAAATGGTTTTGTAATGTTAACACAACTATACTACTATTAATCAAATTTTAAATACTTAAAGTCCTCAGATATGAAAATATGGGAATTAAGCCATGAATATTGTTTATAAAATGTTGCCTTTGCTTGCCAACTTACTTCATCCCAACGTCCTGCAGGGCTAGAAGCAGTAAAGGAGCTCATAGAGGTTTATGTGGTGACTTGCTCAAGGACACTTCAGCCTCAAGGCTCGGATCTTGGTCTTGTGCTTGAATATCAGTTTCCATAACTACCTTTAATCCTTGATTAGGTATTTTAAGAGAGGTATTGCAATGTTTTTTATTTTAGAGCTTCCATGTTAGAGCTGAGCTCCACATTTTCACTGGCAGAGAGAGTCTTTCCCCTCCTCCTCTCTTCTTCTTTCCGTGGCCATTCCCACTGAGATGTCCCTCGGTACATGGCTTGTGCTCCTGCATCTTCAAGTCACACCTGAATTCATCGTGTAGACATGCCCGACAATTGCCAATACACTGCGAGACTGCAGAGGGGTTTACTCTTTCTAAATTAATAAGCCTTTGCTGTTCTTTTAACACACACAAATCCAATGTGTTTTCGCAAGTTTGGTCAAGAGTCATGTGGGTCTGTCTGCATTTCAGCGCTTTAGATGAGAAAGTACATGAAACAAAACAGATGGAAAGAGGAACAAAAAAGCAAGGAGAGCCAGTTTGGAAGTGAGAAAAGGGGGCATATTGGCTGACCTCTGCTGAGACATCAAGGACAACAGAGCCAGTCGGTGCAGTTAGAATCCAGTAATGAGCTCCGTCTCCCAGCACATTAAAGGAGCAAAAAGAGTTGGGAAGAGACGTCTGTATCTTATTGAATGAATATTTTTTAGGTAAATCAACTACAAATACATGAATAGACCCTATTTAAATCATTAGGTCCTAAAAGTTGGAAAATGCGCTCATAGCCGAAAGTTATTCTCCGTCCTTCGATCATGTGAATGAGTCCGAGCACGAGACTGCACCGAGGCCTGGGAGGTGAGGTTAAAGGAATCGCTAGTGCCCTTGCTCTATGGGCCCCCATGGATGCGGAAGATCACTGGAAGATGTGGGCATTTTCATCAGAACTGCTCCATGCTCCACTGAGCAACCTTCAGAGGGATGAACGGGGCGCCGACGCCGTATCAAGTTCTCTTCATAAATCCTGGCTAGCGCTGTTAGCACCGTTAGCTATGAGACACTGGCTGAGGCGGCATCATGTTGAGAGCCGTTCAGAGGCAATTGAAATGCTCCCAATCTCGTATGTTGCACTTTTAAATCAGTCTAGTTCAACACAAGGCTTGAAGAACATACAACAGAAGATACAGTTCAAAAGGAAACTTTACCTCACTACTGATTAATAATTAGAAATAAGCAGCATTTGTTTATTTTCAAACCCTAACCCTAAGCATTTGTGTTTTAGGATACCTGGGATACACCAGTGGTTTCTCCCTGAGCTGCATGGTTTTCTTCCTCATTTCGGTACGTCCTTTATACCTACATGTAAACTAGGCATCATGTCTTGCTTCTTGTTTCTTGTCTGTTGGCAGAAACATCAAGGTAGCATATTCACATGGACTGGGATCAGTCCATAACACTTTTTCCCCCCTTCCTACCACCTCTTTAGTATTCCCTACTCTCTCTACTCATTGCCATGGACTAATGTTTGCATGCTGCGGTTCCAGGCTGTGTTGGTTCTCTTGTCTTTCTCTGACCTAGATTTGGCTGTGCGATCTGTAATCCACGCATCACTCTCTGTCTCTGTCTCTCTCTCTCTCTCTCTCTCAGTACCATATTTTCAGCCTGTCTTTATGCTAACTGTGTCCCTCAGACTTTGTTGCTGCTTAACGCCTCTCCTCTGCACTGCACAGGTCATCTACAAGAAGTTCAATACCCCGTGTCCATTTGTGGACTTTACATTCAATAGCACTGCCACTGGGCTGAATATCAGTGCCATGGATCCTGGTGAGGCGCCTGATCCTGCCTGTATTCCCAAAATGGCCAACCTAAACTCACAAGTAGGTTTTTTGCACATGATACTCGGTCTGAAACTGCAAATCCACCTCCACTGTCATGTTCACTGACCGCCACCCACTTATGTCATAGTCATCTTTAGCATGTTGCCAGTGACGGTTCACAATCCAAGCATGGAAATTGCACTTGGTTTGAAGCACTCAGGGCTTTTATCAAGCTGTTAATGAAAGACAATAGTCTGTGATTAATGCAAGGATCAAAGATTGACCGTGACCCCCGACCTGTCTTCTCCTGTTAGCGGAGGAATAAAAATTGCTTTGACATTCTGTTGCTTACAGTGAGATCATCAAGTTTGCTCTTTGTTGGCCAGAGAGATGGGTAATGAATTAAATGGGAAAGACCTAACAATTCTCTCAGTACCCTTATTTTGTACACCCAGTACATACATTCACAACAGGAAAGTACTCTTGAAGGACTCTTAATGACAGCTGGATGTTTAATTTGTTTTATTGAAACAATGTTGTGTTCCAGAGCATTTGTAAATACTGACCGGTTGTTCATATCAAGTCTTTATTATCCCTCAAAGATGTGTGAGACTTTCCTAGCACAGACTCAAAAGACCAATCCCTGCTGCTCAGCAGCTTACAAGTAAGGCATTCTTAAATAGGCTAAAACTTGGCCCGGCCCAAGTTAATCACAGGGAAACAATTAGCTCTCTGTGATATATCTGAGGGAGTAATGGGCAGTAAAGCGGGAGGTTGGTGGTAAGACGTCTGGGATGGCGCTGCTGTATCTATGGTGACCTGTTGGGGTTCATTTTCAGACTGCCTACACCATCCCCATCCTGGCGTTCGCCTTTGTGTGCCACCCCGAGGTCCTGCCAATCTACACAGAGCTGCGCAAGTATGTTCTTATGATGGAAAAGTCCTGCTAACGTTTGAACAATAAATCAGTTGCATAACAAATAGGAAAGGCCTGATTTGTGCCTGGCTGATCATAACCTAGTCACATGCACTGCTTTCACTTTATTTTGAAATGCGTTGACACTGCTTGTATGATGAGGCATGTCGTCAGTTAAAATGTATCATCCTGCCTGTTGCAGTTTCCTACACCTAAAGAAGCCCCACAACTGAAAATTGTTGTTTTTCTTCAACTGTGCTACATGCTTTCTGTATGACAGTGGATGCCCTGAAGTTATATGTGCGTATGAGTTTATGTTTGTATGTGTATGTGTGCGTGTGACATCACATGGCAATATCTTCTGATTTCAGTCCCACCAAGAAAAAGATGCAGCATGTGGCCAACATCTCCATTGCAGTCATGTACGTCATGTACTTTCTGGCTGCCCTCTTTGGATACCTAACTTTCTATGGTGAGGCCTGGTCCTCCTCCCATTGCAGAGCATTATGCACACCTATCTATCAATCTGTCCGTCTGTCCGTCCATCCATCCATCTATGTATCTAAATCTGTGTATCTATCTATCTATCTATCTATCTATCTATCTATAAATATATCTCTATCTATCTCACTGCGCTTCTTAATTTATTTTTCCATTTACGTTGATTGTTTTAATTTAATGTCACAAGGTTATCAGCACAAGTCTGAATCACTGTGTTGTAGCAGAACAGTCATCCTGAAGGCCATAAAACTATCGTGATGCATTTCCCCCCTCTAGTGGTCATATTGTAGACCTTACATTAACCAAATATACCGCTAATGTAATCCACTGCAATGAAAAGACATCATGATTTATGAAGGTTTTATTGAATACAGTAGCATTTACCTATATTTAGGATGTTAATAAAGCATGATTTTTGCATTATTGTTATCTGTATTGTTTTAATATATACCAGTTAATATTAATATTTGACTTGTATTATAAGTATAACTTTATTGATTAATGTTATCACTATATGAGGAAAGGACAAGTGTTCTTCCTTCATTCAAACTCTATTTTCTTTTTTTGAAATCTCTTTCAGGTGAAGTGGAACCAGAGCTGCTTCACACCTACAGTCGCATTGACCCGTATGATACTTTGATTTTGTGTGTGCGTGTGGCTGTACTCACTGCTGTCACACTCACTGTACCCATTGTGCTCTTTCCTGTAAGTACAATTTTAGCACCTCGAGTTTACACATTGGCTCTCTTCCGTAAAGTCTTGAAGTTATTTTTTTTCACGCAGTGACAATTGAAAGTTGCTTCCCTTTTTTTCTGTTATAATCAGGTGCGAAGAGCAATCCAGCAGATGGCATTTCCCAACAAGACCTTCAACTGGCCCCGTCACACCGCCATTGCCTTCGTTCTGCTCACTTTCATCAACCTGCTCGTCATCTTTGCTCCCAACATCCTGGGCATCTTTGGGGTCATTGGTAGGTTGTAGCAGCACTGGCTGGGACATTTAGACAGACTCAGTTACTAGAAGATGCACCCTGACAAATCCTGAGTATAGCTTCCATGATCTCTTTAAAGCCGATATATTAGCATGTATGCATGTATATTCATATTTATTTTATACATGCAAGTAGATTATTATGCGTGCAATTTATTTCCCTTCCATTTCTTCTGATTTCCATATCATCACTACAGTGCTGTCAGACTTGCAGCAGCACTTAATGAGAACTGAAGGGAGTGAGAATTCACGGAAAATCTGTTTCATGAATCATTTTCTGCTTTTTGTCTGCTTTCCAGGTGCCACATCTGCCCCTTGTCTCATCTTCATATTCCCTGCTATCTTCTACCTTCGTATTGTTCCCAAAGAAGAGGAGCCAATGTGCTCTTTCCCCAAAGTCATGGTGAGCATCCCATGAGAAAAGACATGAATTTAAGTTCAAATTAGTAACTTTAGGTTGTGTTCGGTGAGCATGACAACAATGACATTTGTAGACAGTAAGACAATATAGATAAATATAGAATGATTAATGTAACAGGTTGCTTTATATATAAAGGGTAGGTGGATATAACAGTATATACACCGTGCTTAGATTTGTAATGTAAAGATTTGTAATTTGAAAATCTATATTTCATTTTTTTATTTATATGGTATAATGTGGCATTGTTTTAAATTCTGTTCCTGCGCATTGTTTTTTCATTGACTGTTATTTTGAGTTAGTCGCAATTAATCAAATGTAAAGAGAAACTTAAAGGGATAGTTTTTGTGTTTTGAAGTGGGGATGTTTATGGTATACAGTATATCCATTATCAGTGTATTTCTCACAATAGATTAAGATGGTCATCACGCGCTCAGTTTGGAGAAGCAGACAGGAGCACTCAGCACGGAAGCAAAGCCATGTACTGCTGTGGACTATCTATACAATCTATATCCATTTAAGTATACTCTATATTTGGAATATTTTCTGATGGGAACTGAAAGTGACTTATCCATACTGTACAGAGCATAGATAAGTTTCACTTTTAGAAATGGCTGTCAACAAGATAAAGCGGTGAAAATATTCTCAGTATGGCGTACACTGAAAGGGATATTGATTTTTTTTTTAGTTTAGCCTTTCTCCTGGGCGGCTAAAGTATGTTTTGCCGCTGATCCTGTCCACAGCAGTACATTGCTTTGCTCTTGTGTTGGTATTTCTGTCTGTTTCTCTAAACAGGGAGCATGCGGACCATCATCTACTGTCGGTAATACACTGACTATAAGTACCTCCTACGACCCAACTTCAACGTATCCAAACTATCCCTTTAACTGCATTATGATGTTATTAATTTTTTTTAATTCTCACAAATCAATGTTTGTGTCAACCAAAAATAAATAAATAGTATTGGTTGGGATTTTTACTTAGAATGCACCAATCCAACTTTTTCAGTCCCAATAGCAATACCTGGGCAAAACTGAGAACCAGTGTTTATTAAATAAGATGTACGCCTCACTTTGTGTGGAAGTAACTGGAATAATTCTTATATGTGTAAGGCAACAGTAGGCTTGAATCAAACATTGCTTTCCTAACTTTGTAAAAAAAAAAAAAAAAAAATGAAATACAAAGATTTAAATGTACTGAATTGTTATTTGTTTTAAATAATTATATTCGATATCAGAGTGGCATATTGTTAACAACACTCAATCCAGCTATTTGAGTCAGTATCGGACCCATATCCGATGTCCGATATCAGTATCGGTATCGTTGCGTCGCTAATATTTACCTCTACAGACAAAAATGTCTCATTAATGCCATTCACGTATTCAATGATATACGATAGTTACTGTTAATATCGTGACGCTGTCTAAAAAGGATGTGATACGATAATCTCTCTAGCCCCTGTTCTTTTGTCACTCTCTTTAACTCATTCACTCCTCCTCTCTTCTAGGCCGTCTGTTTTGCTGCGATAGGCGTCCTGTTCATGATAATGAGCCTCAGCTTTATCATCATTGATTGGACATCAGGCAGCAGCAAAGCCAGCAGTGGTCACTAGGCACCACCTTCTATTTTGTTTTTCAGGTTTTATATTGTTGATTTAGATCTGTGTTGTGATGTTAAAGTTTTTACTTTGAATTATGTTTGACGTTGAACATGCCCTACTTTGACCAGTGACTGCAGATCCAGGCCGGTCTACTGACTGGAAAGTTGATCGTTGAATTTACAAAATTGGCCACGTGCATAAAGATTAATGTTGACATTTGGAGGCTGTGCTTTGTGAGATGGATGTAAAAATGAGATAAGTAACAACATAGAAAGCAGCTATCATTATACACCTGTCCCTGCGTTGGTTGGGATCAACTGCTATCCCTGTCTGCTACTCAGATTAGAGTAGACTATCTGAGGCACCTCCATTTTAACTGTTGACAAAAATCTACTCAATGATGGACAATTATTAATTTATTACGTCTATTATTATTATTATTATTATTATTATTATTATTATTAAGTTATTTGAATAACTACATATTTGTCACTCTGTGCAACTGCAGATGAAAGTGGTGGTAAAAGCTATTGCACAGAAAGAAAGATAAGTTAAAGGAATAGTTCAACATTTTCGGGAAATACGCTTAAATTTATACCACTCTCAATACTGTGTACAGCAAATTTGAAGTTACAGCCAACAGATGGTTAGCTTAGCTTAGCAAGAAGACCGGAAAATGTTGAACTGGTTTTTTTTAGTGTGTGCACCCTGTCGCTCCTACTCCACTAACGTGGTTATTTTAGGGTTTGGAGTTGTCAACATTTTCGCCTCTGACAGAGCGGGGTGCTAAACCACACAGACAGTATGTCGTAAAGTGTTGTGAGCACATTTATCAAAACATTCCGACACAATATGATCAAGATGTATATTTTTATTATGAATCTCAGAAGATGCAGGATGGACTGATGACCTGATCCTCAGCTCGTCATTTCAGGTTAGGAAGGTTTTTAAATGACTTGGCAGTCCAGATCACCACATAAAACAATGCCTTGTGTGTGCAGTTTGTTTTTCAGTGTTACTGTGGTGCAAATGAAAGAAAGAAATGGTATACCGAAGACCTCATCAGTTGGATTGTACAGATCAAAGTGATAAATTAAATGAAAACAAAAGTCACTGCTCAGTGTTTGTAATGATGGAGGGAAGATTTATTTCCCTGAAAGATGTGTTGTTTCTGAACATTTACTGGAAGTAATCAGAGATAACCAAAACAACAACAACAGGGTCACTTCACCATGTGGTTAGTAACAGTTTGGTGTCTGTAAATATTTCTGTGTCCAGCACAAGCTGGATCCCTAACAGAAATGACAGACATGGGATGACTGTCTTTAACAATTTTGAAAAGTTTGTGGTTAGCAATAGCACTTTCCGCTGATAAGCACAACATCTTGTTGCCATTAATAAGATTAAACACAAGCAAATGCAAATCCCATAATCGATAGATGTGATTTAAGGGCATGTCCCTTTTGTATAACTAAATCGTTGGTGATGTAATCAATCTAATGTAGATAATGAGCAATTTAGCAATGCATCGATGGTATCATATGGATGTCTTCTCAAACATTACTTGAAATGTTACGGTTAGTTTTCCTGTGAGCCCCTGCTGCCATTCGTTTCCTCCTCTGGTCCGTTCTGTAGCTGAAGCCACTAATCGGTTGGATGTACTGGTGTCCGTGTCGTTTAAAAAAGAAAACATGGCTCCACTGTATTTGAACTATATAAGCATTAGTGTTGATAAACCTGGACCTATACTCTGATCAAGTATACTTCTAGTATTGCTCTCCTGCCATTGATAGATTAACTGTTGTTTTGAACTTCATGTTTAATGTTTATTTGGTTGAATCTGATCCAGTGATGAAAAAAGAAATCCTGTCAATGATTGATTTGATGTGAGTTCCTTTTCTTATATTTGTCTTTTACAGTCAGTGGCATATCATAAGTGGTAAAGTTTGGGTTGTTTCTGACTTCCTTGCTGCTTGTTGGCAGACAGTAACTTTTTAACTCTGAGTTGTTAGTGAGCTGGTGTACTGGCATATATTTCAATATATTTTTTTATGATCAACTCTGTTACACCAGACAACAGTGAGTGCCGTGAGGGTAAGTCAGTACTGTCCAGTCAATTGGTTAAAGAAACCTCTTTTAATCCATTGTATCTAGATATTTGGTTGTCTTAATGTAAGTGTATGCAGAGGGAATCATGTGAATCAGCCACTGGGGCGTAACATAGTGTTTGGTGTTGTTTAACCAATGCAAGTGTTATACGTATTTATCCCCAACTTCCTGTTCCTGGTTTGACCTTGGTGAGTTTTTCAATGGTGCACATGTAAACCTCACAACATGCAACAAAAATAGAAATAAACATGAAGCAACAAAGTGAGGGGATACGCTGGGTTAGTGTTGGATACAAGATGATCTCTGATGACCACTTTTTAGAACTCAGTGTTGTTAATCTCCCTCTTTGTGTGATTTATTGAAATGTGTATGATTGAATAGTAACATATTAAATATTTGCCAGCATTTATAAATACTGTATATAAATGCATATCCTTTATATTCTATATGCATATCTAGTTTGTACAATGTAGATAGCTATTAAAGTTTTAGTCCAATTAAAAATATAAATGTAATCATTTGTCCTTCATTTCATGTTGATTTTCTTGTATCTCTTTGATGCTGGCAGTTATTGTACTGTAAACAATGTTGCAATAAAGATAATGAGGTAACAAATGTTGATCTCTCATCTGTCAGATATGGCCATCTGGAAAGAGGATATCGAATATGGACAGATTTTCAAGACTATTCTTTGTCTTTTATATAAATCGTTAATTCCACGAATGATGATAATAAAAATAAACATCAACGAAAAATGTTAACAGCTTTAAATGGATCACTGCGGCTACGCTGTAAGCATTATATAACCCGAAAACATATTGTGCAAAAAGGACACTGCGATTATATGATTAACTTTTTTTAAATATTTTATTCATGTAATATTTAAATATCAGTAACACTTTGTAAGACAAAAAGGTGTAAGAAAAGGGAGTTGTTAATGTGTCTCCTGAGGGTCAGAAGCTGGTCCACAAGGTGACACTAAAGTGCTGTGGAGTTATGTTATCCTAAAGGTAGTTACAGATGACGTTGCAGATTAAGAATAAACATATTTTCCTGTTAAACCTAGTAGACCTACAGTTAGTTAAAATGGCTCCATCTCTCAAGCAGCTACAACATTAAAATGATGTTTGTGTATTACTGCATCAATAATAATAAATTATATTTCCATATCAATATAACATTTTAAGAGGGGAGATTCTGCAGTATTCTTACTTTTATATGTTTCAAGAGGGCTACATTTAGCCATTCATATTTTTTTTGTAGCTAGTAAAATACAACTTTGAATGCAGTACTTTTACTTGTAATTGAGTGTTCTTACACGGTGGTATTTCTACTTTTACCTACGTAAACAATCCTGTTGTACGTATTAAAACAGTAGGTTGTGAAAGGGGGGGCATCCGCAGGTACACTGATTAATGCTGCTGGCTTTAACCCCAAAATGTAAACTCTTAAAAAACACCTTTAATCTCTCTTCTCAACTGTAGAATCACATAGACCCCAGATGTTTCCACTTGAGGCAGTATAATTCAGGTGAAACTGCACGGCAGCTCTTGAATGAAACGTCTTCCCCGCCGTTGACTACATTTCCCATGAGGCACTCGGAGTGGGCGTTTCTTTTCTGGTGAGGGCTGGCCCTGGCTGCTGCTGTGGAGTCGGGAGGTGACGCCGGCGCTGTCTCGCTGTTTGTGTGTCGGACGGAGGGGAACTTCACGGCGGTCTCCGGGTGTGGCTTCAAACGTGATAAATCTCAACGCGGGGAGAGAATGCGCAACAGTGATAGGGATTTAAAAAAACAACCAAAAAATCCTCTCCTTTTCCTCCTCTGAAAAGCGGGCAGTGTGTGCCTGGTAGCCTCACTGGCAGCGGGAATCTGTGTGCTCGCTTTTCAACAGCTGGAATACTTTTGTTTTTTTTTTTGCGCTGAACTTCTCGTGTGTTTTTCATCTGCTCTAATGGTCTGCTGTAGGAACTACCGAATCCGATAAAAGTCAACCGTCCACAAAAAGTTGCTCGAGATTTGTTTTCGGGACAACTTCTCCGTTCTCATTAGAGACCACCACTGCTGGCCTGATTGACTGAATAACCAACGAGTGTTTGGGAATTTCATGCGTTAGAAATCCAAGTTCACGTCGCAGGAGGAGACTCCGTCACGTTTGATCAAAAAGGGAAGCCGCCTTTACTCAACTCCAACCCTTGTTTTTAGGGGTTTTGTTTCGGACACAGCCCATAAATATATATATATATATTTATATATATATATATATATATATTTATTTTTTTTAAAATTTATTTATTTATTTTTTATTTTATTTATTTATTTTTTCCTGGTGATATTTCCCCACTAAGCAGCAGTCCTGAAGCGCGCACTAGGAACCATGGGGTGTACAGTCAGTCAGGAGGATAAAGCCGCGGCCGAGAGGTCTAAAATGATTGATAAAAACCTGAGAGAAGATGGAGAGAAGGCGGCGAGAGAAGTGAAACTGCTGCTGCTGGGTGAGTAGTCTGCACCGACACGAAAGTACCACACTAACGGTTACAGAGCAATTGCTCAACAGCATGAAACACTTGACTAATTTGTACAAATATGACACAGCAGCACATCAGACAAAAAGCCCAAATTCTATAAATACATGTTGGCCTTTGAAATGTGGCTTTCATTCAAATACTGCCACTGTTGAAGCGTTTTTTTTTTTCCAGTTAAACCAGAACTCTTTGAGTGTTCAATTAGCTCCTTAAGAGACAAACGTGGCAGAAAAAAATGCAGTTTGTGTGTGTGAGCGTGACCTTTCACCGCCCAAGTTCACATGTTAAAAGTAGCATGTCTGGGTGCCCTCTGACCTTAATTCTAGGCTCTGCTGTGAGATAAATGTGCTTTATTCAGCATGTTTTGTAAGGTTTGGAGTTGAAACACCACTCTTGAACACATGTCCCCGTCCAGCTCAAAGATGGCGTTAATTGCTAAACCCTGGATGTTGAGTGAGAGATCAGAGCAGAGGGTCTGGTTTCTTTTGGACAGGGCGGTCAAAAATAGTCAGTCTTATACATTTGCAGCGGTTTCCTCCCACCGGGGCTGAACCGAGGGGTCTGGTTGATAATGAGTGGCTGTTTGGACAGAGGGTGAACAGCCCTGACTGTTCCCAGCACTGGCCAGAGCTCACACACACATCAACACTAAACAACTGATTGGAAGTACTGCTTGGTAGCAAAGAGACACTTTCCCAGGCTTTCAAACGTCTCCCTGGTTCCTTTGACTTTCTGCTTTGTGACTGCAACATACAGCTACTTGACATACTGCTTTTGTCTGCAATGTCGTTTTAATATTGAAGCCACACTGACATCTTGTTTTTCTTATCTTTACTTATCCATTTTAGATGGTTCTACACTAAGATTTAAAACCTGACTTGCTTTGCAGCTCAGACATGCAGAAAGAAATAAAGAGTCTCATTGGCTGCTGCTTATTAATACTTTTGATGTATTACAATTTAAAACCATTAAAGTCCTGCTTACGATGTGTTGTATCTCACACCCAGTGATTCACACTGTGGAAGTTACTGTAATTATTGCTCCAAGGGAATCAGTGCGGTTTTGAGTGAGTAATTTTCTTACAATAGACTGTGATTTTTATTGAAAACCTCTCGCTGAACATATGCTCGGCTTCAAAGTAATATTGATCCTGTGAGCGGAGAAATATACTTGAAATATTATCATTTTCGCCCCCACTTTCAAACATACCCTCCTTTCTATAGTGTCAATTGGAAGTAGTTTGGTTATTTAGTTAACACAGATTAATAGTCACAGAAATTGATTTGTCATCCTCTCTCCTGACACAAAACAGGAAATGATGCTTAAATTGAGAGGGAACACATGCTGTGCTTTTGTCTCCTGGGTCTTTTTGAAGAGACGGCTGCTTGTTAAGTTGCGCCCCTGGGCAGAAAGCTAATTACATACTCTGCTTTGTACAGCAGGTCTCATATCAGTAATTACCATCCGGCGGGGGGGGGGGGGGGGGGGGGGGGGGGTGGGTGTGTGTGTCAGGGTTGAGAGGGATTATAGGAGAGGTCTGAATCTGAGCCACAGGTTTGTCAATTTGTGCGTAAAGATTCACGTCATGCAAGAAAGACTTTTCCCTCATGCATTTAAAAACAGTAAAAACAAAAAAGGGTGTCCCAGCATGCAAAGGCTGCGGCCGGATTATAAAGAGGATTTTATGGTCTCTGAAAAGTGAAATGTAAATTCTAGTGAAGTCAAAGAGAGTGCTTCAGGGCATTCTTTCTGTGATCCATTGAATAATAGCTTTGTGGTTGTAGCTGAAATCGTGATCTATCTCACAGTATGTGTGACAGAGGTGTGACATCCTTCCAGAGGTGCTACATCACGCCTCCAGGTATGCTTTTCAGCACTCCCATCTGCTGCCATGGTATCTGTTAGAACAGCTGAGAAAAAGTCTCCCTTCTGCCTATGTGGCCACACCAATAAAGCCTCACTTGTAAATTGTTAATCTCATGTGCCTCCTAGCAAACTCTTGAGACGAGGTGTGGAAGTTGAAGGATGCCTGTGTCTACTGAAATGACGGATCTCTTTTTGAATCGACTCTGAACCGCTGCCTTCCTTCAGCAAGCAGAGGAAGTCTAACCACAAACTGCTTCATCGAAATGTTCACACTTAACATTCTTACCTGGTGTGAACAAACGGATGCAATTAGGATCTCCACCGGTTTCCTTAAAAGAAGGCTGTTTTAGATAGTTTTGTCTGGTTAGACGTCCCCAGAGAAAGCCATTAGTTAATGAAGCAGAGAGGACTTCATACCGCCGAGGCTTAAGCTTTCATTAACAGGAAGCACTCATTCACAGGCTTCCCTGCTGATTCTGCTCTTTGATTGACATTTAATCTGCTCCCCGTCCACAGTCATAAATTCTCCTCTGACTTAAGTTGATTTTCTCTATTCTTTGGCTTCCCAACCTTCAGCTCAGCACAAATGAGAAGTTCCTATTGGCAGCATGCTCTGGTTGAACTGTAAGAACAGCAGCCAAGTAGTAGGAAATATCTCTGCATGATTCAGCACACACACACACACACACACACAGGCACACACTTCTGTGTTAATTGTACATAAACACATTGGCTCAGAGGCTTGATAGGCAATGCTGTTATGTAAATATGATGGCATACTGAATGCATGCTGCCTGTGGCCACAGTAGAAAGCCACATCCACCTCTAACATGAATATAAAGACATTTTACTGACAACATCTTGGATATGTGTGCACATTAAAGAAGCATGCAGCACAAGTGTGTAGTGGAATACTTCCTGTTCCCCCCCCCCCCACAGCTGTCAGCCTGACGGGGTAGAGGTGATGAATGAAGGAAAATAAAGACGATGACAACGATGCTGATCATGTTCTTAGAAGAAAAATAACTTGGTCTATTTAAAGCGCTGTTATTCATTTCCATTGAGATCGGCGGAGGTGTTGTTGTTTCATGACATGATGTAGCATGCACTCACTGCAGTACACATTGGTCGTTGCTTCTGTGTTGAATCTGATTCCATTCCACGGCCCCTCGTGGTCACCGCAGTGAGGCCGCCATACTGTTTAGCCTGCAGCTGGTATTATTCGTGATCAAAGCATCAAATGGTTAGCCTAAAATGAAGGCGGCAGCCACGTTTCATCCCTCATGCCACGGAATGAGAAACGTGCTGTTAATGTTTCCAGGCTAAGAATATATTATCCTTGTGAGGAGAGCTTGTATAACTCTAAGGTCACCTTGATTGTTTTTTTTTTTTACCTAAAGACACCGGCCTTTATTATGAACCAGCAGTGAATGGTTTTCACCACCGAAGAAAGGAAGAACACATGATATGAAACCAGTCGTTTTCACTTCCTCTTCTATCTCGGCTCTCTGCAGTGTGCATGAGGGCGCCTGCTCATTAATCTGCATACTTTGCTAAAGCCTTCGTAAAGGAAGTAGGGAAATGGACTCCAGCAAAACATCCAGATAGGTATACTTGTAATAGTGGATATTACGATATTCAACGCTTTCTTGTAACCACTGTCACACATCTTCAAAGGCAGTTTGCTCCCGTGGGTTCCAGTAGAATGAACAGTTACCTTCATGTCTGTTAAATGCTTTGTTTAGGTAACTTTCTCAAGGCTTAGTGCTGCAGACTCAGTATTGATCAGCGAAAGAGGGCCTCTATCGACGAGCCCAGCCACTGTTGCCATTGGTTGAGCTGGGAAACCTGAGCTATAGCTACTGTGGTAGTATGGGTAGAGAGGCAGTGAGATCGGATCCTGTTATTATCTCTTTGCCAGTTGGTGATTAGAGGTGTTTGACCCGTCTGCAAAACTCTGGAAAGCTGCTCCGGTCAGGCCCAAACTCCTTCTCCATTTCCTCTTTTTAAACCTCTCCAGGTTAAAGGACATGTGATCAGAAACACCAAAGAAGTCAAACACAACACAAATAAAACCTTTTAAATGAGGTTGCAGTATTTCTCCAGGAAAAAAAAAAAATAAATCAAGCAGGCAGGGCATCGTAGCCCAAATAGTCACCTATTTATTGTATATAGTCATGTTTGATGACAACACAAGGCGACATGGTCGGCCCATGTGGTCTGTGCTGCATAGACACCGAGTTCCTCCCTCTTATTAGAGCCAGTGTCTGAGTTGCAGTGGGTGTAATTACTGCAGACTGATTATAGAGACACCGAGTCAGACTGACCTGCTCCTCAGGTATAAACAGCTCCATGTCTGAAGCCCTGCTCTGGCAGCGGAGCACACAAGAAATCTCATCTCAACATCAGCTACTTAGCGGCTACATTGTAACGGATCTTTTTTTTTGCAAAAATGTGCCACTTCTGTAAGGTTTATCAAACGAGCTGCTGCCCTATGTTTTTGTTTGTTTTGGGTGACTTGACCGTGTTTACTCAACAGTCTGCACCACAGTGCCACCTAATTAGCCGTATGACGCACCGGTCAGCAGAGTGTGTATGTGAAGGGGTTAGAATATCCTGCAATTACAGAGAGAGCTCCTCAGATAAAGCCTGCTCCTGCAGACTGCGCGTCTCAGTGCAGATCCACAGGGACGTGGCTGCACTACCCTCTCTGCTCTGGGAACACTGATCGCTCAGAAAATCCTGCACCCATACCTCAAAATCTTACCTCCACACGGCAGCATGCCTTTGCTGCTTCATACCTACATTATTCAGTGAGGAAAGGCAGTTTATGTCCTGTGTGCATCCCGAGGTGTGTGACTAGCAAGCTGCCTTTTTTTTGAGTGCAGCCCTCAGGATTCACCTTGGTTCCGGTCACCACAGAGTGTGAAGATGTTTTGACATAGGCTTAGATCACAAAGCCCAATTCTCTGTGCACCCCTCTCCCTTACCTCTGATCATGTGTGTAGAAGGAGGGAAGTAGATACTGCAGCCTGTCGGCCAGCAGACAGCCCTGCACAGACACCGGAACTGTTGCAAAATGCAAAGCTCTTAGTGCGAGGCAG